AATGACACTCAATCTAAGGCAGTGGTTCTCAACCTTCCTAATGCTGTGACCCTTTAATACAGCTCATGTTGTGATGACCCCAACCATAAAATTATTTTTGTTGCTATTCATAACTGTAGTTTTGCTACTGTTATGAACTGTAATGTAAATACCTGATGTAACCTAATGTAACCACCAAAGGGGTTATGACCCACAGGTTGAGAAGCACTCATCTAAGGAGTAACTCAGATCATCACGTAAGAACCAGTGATTTACACTTTTACATTCACAGTTAATAGTAAAACACAGATCCAAATTGTTACATGCAAAGAAAATCTCAATTAAAAGTTGAAGCCCAGAGATCCAAACATCCAAACTTTTCAGGTGGAAGGGACAGGGAGACAATACACTGTACAGCTGCTCCACACAGCCCCATAGCTGACGGGGAGACAGGGCTGCACACCCAATACTGGCACTACAGTAAATGGATAAGGTGCTGTATTTCCTGCAGAGATTATAATTACATCATTTCTCCCTTCCCTTCCCTTTCCTCCCTCCAACCCTCCCATGTTCTCTTTCATAGTCATGGCCTCTTTTTTAGTTGTTACTATGTGTCAAAATATGTCATTCAACTAATACAAAATACAACAAACTTTTGTAAACGCCTTTCTTAGCATGACCATGTAGTTCAGCTGTGTCCAAAGCAGCACACTTCATTTCCCTGCGAGGAAGCATAACACAGTGCATGCGTGTGCTTGCTCACTCTCTCCTGCTTTTCTCTCTTGTGTTCTCCCCCCTCCCCCCTCTCAGAGGGAATGGTTTTGACACAGAATTTCTCTGTAACCCTGGCTGTCCTGGATCTCTCTCTACAGCCCAGGTTAGCCTGGAACTCAGAGATCCACCTGCCTCTGTGCTGGAATTAAAGGTATTCAACCACTATGCCTGGCTACTGTTTTTGAAATGGAATGAGGAAGACACTTGGGTTGTAGTGTCTGAAGTGTTGTATGAATGCAGCTACCTCAGTCACAAGAGAAAAATGGCAACAACAAGGTATTTGCACTGCATGATCCCAGCAGACTTTCCTTCCCTTTCCAGTTGAACTGGAAAGTCTGCCTGCTGTTTTCACCAGAGCTTGACACCTGTCCTCAGAACAAATGATGCTTTCCCTCAAAAAGCTGAACTTTTAAGAGCATGGAAACTGCTGTTTTCAACAGAAAAGAATCCTATTGAAATGAATTGGATTACTTTAGAAAAATCCTTTACAAACTGTAGAGACAAATGTCCTCTGTACTCACCCCCTATTTCCTCTTAATAACTCCTCTACGAATTATTTCCCATCTGACCTCATGGTAAGCAGGAACTTTCTGTTCTGCATTTTAATACAATCCAGGCACTATTTACTTCTATGTTTTTGCAAAGGCAAGATTTATGTGTATACGTTTCCTGAACAAAATTAGAATCTACTTAAGGAAATCTACCTGTCCTATTTTTTCCACATAAAGTTAAATATACATAAGTAGCACCCAATAATTAAACTATAAACTTACCCTCCAGAAATACCAAACAATATCCAAAGAAGGATTCATTCACAAAGTAACCCAGATTCATTGTTGCAATTTCTTGTCGGCCACCGCACTCTTGAGTACCAGCTGCACAAGCCCATGATGGCTCCCCTGCTCAAACACTGCTCAGGTCTCGCCACTGCCTCCTCATTTGTCATTCAAAATTCATATATCATATTTCAGGTCCTCCCAAATATTGCTCCTGCAGTTACTACAAAACTTTAGCTACCATCACTCACCACCACCTTCAGTTTGGCCCAAAGTGAGTACACAATGAACCACTGTACAGCGCAGCAAGTGATTAACAAGCTACCTGAGTGAACAAACCAGCACTTCTGTGGGTTCGCTCTGGGTAGATGCACTCCGCTAGAATATGAGAGTCAAATGTGTCCAGGTTTCTAATCATAAAAACTGGCTTTGTCTACTTGATTAAGTTACAAATATAGGGCTTTACTGTCTTGTCTTTTTTTTAAAAAAGAACTTTTTCTTAAAAAAATGGTTTTTGGTTATTTTGTTGTTGTTGTTCTAAGACTTATTTATTTACATTTTATGTGTATGGGTGTTTTTACCTGCATATATATCTGTGTACCACATGACCATATGAGTAGCCTGTAGAAGAGGCCAGAAGAGGGTACTGGATCCCCTAGAACTGGAGTTATGGATGGTTGTGAACAACCATATGAGTGCTGGGACTCAAACCCGGGGTCCCTGGAAAGGGAGCAGCCAGCGCTCTCAACCACTGAAGCCTTTCACTACTCCTGTAAGCACATAAAAAAACATTCTTTTAAAGTTTTTTGAGACAGGGTCTCTCTATGTAGTTAGTAGTCCTGAAACTCTATGTAGACCAGGCTGACCTTGAAATCAGAGATCCTCCTGCCTCTGCCTCTCCAAGTGCTGGGACTAAGTGTCTGTAACACCATACCTGGCCTGAAAAAAACACAGTCTTAATGAAATTATCTTGTAGGCATTTCGGGGCCATGTGTAGAGAGGTCAACTAGGGAGGCCAGGCTGGAAAGCAAGTACAAACTGGTTGAGATGAAAGAGAAGGACACCTGATCTTGAGTTCTCAGGGGTCTGATTTTTCCTTCCTTTTTTAAAATTTTGTTGATTTTATGTTCTTGGGTGTTTCGTCTACATGTAAGTATGTGTACCCATGTGTGCCTGATGCCCTTGAAGGTCAGAAAATGGCACTGGACCAGGTATGGCAGTGCATGCCTTTAATCCCAACACTGGCAGATCTGAGTTCGATGCCAGCCTGGTCTATATAGAGTTACAAGACAGCCAGGGCTATGTAGAAACCCAGTCTCAAAAAAAAAAAAAAAAAAAAACCAAATAAGTAAATAAGTAGAAAATAAAAAAAGATGGCTTTTGGGTCTGTGGGACTGGAGTTATAGATGCAAAAGATTGTCCATGTGGATACTAGGACTCAAACCAGGGCCCTCTAAAGAATAGCCAAGCCATTATCCATAGCCCCAAGGGACCTGAGTTTTCTTTCAATCCATGTATAATACACTGATTGGGTCTGTTTTCCTAATAACGGACAAGGGCCTTTATTCTTCCCCAGGGTCTTGTTATGTGGCCCAGGTTGAACTCCTGATCTCATGCAATCCCTCAGCCTCAACCTCCCAAATATCTTAAACACACCAGGCATGCACTGCCATACCTGGCCCAATGCTTTTTTGTTTTGTTTTGTTTGTTTCTGAGACAGTCTCACTCAACAGTCCAGTTTGGCCTGAAACTCACAATTTAGCCAAGGATGTCTTTGAACTCATAGCAACCCTCCTGCCTCAGCCTACCAAGAGCTGGCATTACAGACATGAGCCACCACGCCTATCTTTCCTGCTTTTTCGAAAAGTGCTCTCTCTTTACTGGCTCCTCAATCAGAGAAGGTATTACCACTCCATATCTGACTCTCTCCATGTCCCACAAGGATAAGAACATTGTAAACAATAAAAAAGCTAATACCGAGCTGGAGAGATGGCTCGGAGGTTAAGAGCACTAACTGCTCTTCCAGAGGTCCTGAGTTCAATTCCCAGCAACCACATGGTGGCTCACAACCATCTGTAATGAGATCTGGTGCCCTCTTCTGGCCTGCAGACATACAGGCAGACAAAACACTGTATACATAAATAAATAAATAAATCTTTTTTTTTTAAAAAAAAAAAAAAAGCTAATACCAATGGCTAGGGAAATAGCTTGGTCAGCCACTAGTAGGTTGCCATGCTCCAATGGACGTCCCACACTCAGGCACATACAGGTAGCACTAATTGGATGTAGTGGAATATTTAAAAAAAGAAAAGTTGGGAGGGGGTCCAGGGAGAATGAATAGAAGGGGAGAGGTGGGGGTGGCGGTAGATACGATCTACACGCATTTCATAACACGTTGTATGAAATTCTCAAAGAATAAATTTAAAAATTTCTTCAACCCTGGGTGTTTATTAGGAATAGGTAACGCATGTGCATTGTATAAAGTTATAAAGGTCTATATAGGAATATTCTGAGAAGCGTGGCCTGAAGTGAATCTGATCTTTCACTACCCCTCAATTTACTAAGAGCCTTTGCTGCTGTAAACACACTGGCCTAGCCACATTCAGCTTGGGAACATGTTTGTTTAGGGACAGGTACTGACCTGTGAACTGGACAACTATGTCCAATGTATCCAATCCAGTCTCTGCAGAACATTATTAACACAACACAGAATCGAAGGATGAACATTCCTGCCGCACCATATAATCTATAACACTAGTCAACTTTTAGACACACTGCTTGTGATTTATGCTTTCTAATCTATGAAACAAGCTTCATTAAGTTGTAGTGTGGTGAAGTTACAAAAGTTCAATGATGCACAGTGGTGGTAGCACATGCCTTTGATCTCAGCCTTTAATCCCAGCACTCGGGAAAAGGTAAGCAGGTGGATCTCTGGAGGCCAGCCTGGTCTAAAGAGTGAGCTCCAGGACAGCCAGGCTACACAGAAACCTGTCTCAAAAAGGAAAAACACAGTTCAATACTTTGCTCTTTGTCGTCCTCAATGTTTATCTACATGTGAGCATTTTATCTGCATGTCTGTGCGTGGATCAGCAGGTGCAGCCGTGAGCCCCCAGTGGATGCTGGGAACTGGGAACTGAACTCAGGTCCTCTGCAAGAACAAGCGCTCTTGGCCACTGAGCACCTCTCCAGCCCCAAATGCTTTGCTCTTTTCACACCTTCCACATTGTCTTCGGCTTTCCTTGTGGAGTATTTTCACAAAGTTTTTGTTACACTGATTATTTGGTTTATGCTTTGCTTTGAGACAATCTCACTCTGTATCCCAAGCTGGACTCAAAGTCACAGCAATCCTCCTGTGTCAAAGTTTAACTCCATGTGCCCAAATTTCCACTTAGGGGGGAAAAACTGTGTGAAAATGACAACATTTCCATGAACAGATCTATTGAACAGAACCAAAGACTCCCTGACAATTACCTTTTGTTCTTCTCTTTCTGTTGCATGGTGGCACTTTTCAATTCTCCAATGCCTCAAGAAATCTCGAAGATATCCAAAGAGGGTGAGGACCCCATATCCCACGTATGTGAGTACGGCAACCAGCATGGGTGTTTCTTCAAACACTTCATTAAACGGTCTTTTATACAGTCCTCCATTTTCTGTAACATGATGAATCTAAGAGAGCAATCAGAAATGTTGGTTGAAGTCACAGCAAGAAAAATTTCTACTGAAAAATCTCAGTCCTGAGAGAGTTGTAGAACACTATATGTTGGGAAACACTAAGACCACGCTTCCTTTCAAGAGAAATGATTCAAGAATCATTTATGAACAACAAAGGGAGAGGCGGTCAACAGAAAGGACAACAGAGTCAACAGTGTCTAACACTGATTTTATCATAATCTGATTTTCTGAAACAGATTCTAAACACACTATTATTCCAAGGAGCATCATTTCCTTTGTTCTAATAAAGAAAATAAAAAGAGACAGCCTAGTCTAAAAAACATTGTGTTAGTGTGGTGATATATTGTGTACCCTAATAAAATTTGCCTGAAAAATCAGAGGACAAAACAAGCATAGAGGTCAGGCAGTGGTGGCACACACACACACACACACACACACCTTTAATCCTAGCACTCAGGAGGCAAAGATCCATCTGGATCTCTGTGAGTTCAAAGCCACCCTGGACTACATGAGATTGACCTACAGAGCCAGGCAGTGGTGGCACACACCTTTAATCCCAATACTTGAGAGTCACATACCTTTAATCCCAGCTCTAGGAAGGAAGTAATATGGCTGGGCATAGAAAGGTATATAAGGCTGAGGAGACAGGAAATAAAGCCCTTTTGGCTAGAAAGCTTCTTCGGCTGGAAGCTTTTTGGCTGGACCCCTTTCGGCTGAGGACTCAGAGGCATTCAGTCAGAGGATTCCTGGAGTTGGTGAGGTGAGATGTGGCAGTGGCTTGTTCCTTTGTTTCTCTGATCTTTCAGCATTTACCCCATTATCTAGATCCAGGTTTTTATTATAAGACCATTTTAGCAATTTGTGTTATATATTAGCTCACCAACAAAGCAATCACATGTCCAAAAGTAAACACAGTTTTATAATACAAAAGCATGTGTAAATTTTTTACTACCAGTTTTTTTTTTTTTTTTTTTTTTTTTTTTTGGTTTTTCAAGAAGGTTTTCTGTATAGCCTTGGCTGTCCTGGATCTCGCTCTGCAGACCAGGGTGGCCTTGAACTCACAGAGATCCACCTGTCTCTGCTCTGAGTGCTGGGATTAAAGGCATGTGTAACCACTGCCTGGTCGTACCAGTCATTCTTAAAGCCACTCAACTACAGTACTTCAAATGACTATCGGCATTAGGCTGTAGGAGGTACCTATAAACTTTCCTCAGCGATAATACACACAGAGTAAAAGGAGGGCTGCTGAGAGAGCTCAGAGCTTTAGCCGCCAAGGCTGATGACTGCGTTCAATCCCTAGGATCCACATGATGAACTGACATGAGCTGTATGAAGCACACATGTGCCCACATGTGCAGAAGGAAAAGGGTAGGAACATGAACCAAAACTGAGGATTATGAAAACGGCTTACAGAAACCAGTACTTGGTAAAATAATTTAAGAAAAAAAAAAATTAAGGGGTTTTAATGGAGGTACACTGCATGGGTGGATAAGGTTTCCCTGAGAAGACCCCTAAACACATGCACAGACACATACTAAATAAAAATAAAAAATTTTTAAAGAATAAAGCTTGGCAGTGGTGGCACACAACTTTAATCGCAGCACTCAGGAGGCAGAGACAGGCAGAACTCTGTGAGTTAAAAGCCAGCCTGGTCTACAGAGCTAGTTCTAGGACAGCCATACCTACAAAAACAACCTGTAAGCGGGGGGGGGGGGGGGGATAAATAAATAACAAAGAAGGTGAAATTTAACTTAGGAAGGACAAAAGTTAAGAACAACCAGCAGCCATCATGCACTGATCCTGTCTCTCCTTATTTTGATCTAAGTGTACATTCCCAAACTTTTAAAGATTATCCCTTATTTTATCTTTTAAGATATGTTTAGTGTTTGTTTATGGAGACAGGGTTTTATCATGTCACCAAGGATAGTCTTAGACTTATAAACCTTCTGCCTCAGCCTTCTGAGTGCTGGGATTACGGGTATGTGCCACTATGCCTGGTAGCACTTGGGTTTTAATATACAAATACAAAGATACTTTACTTTTGATTTCAATGATTAAAACATTTTACTTTTTGGTTAATTGTAATGGAAATCTCATTTTACAGAAGAAACTCCTGAGGAAAGAACTAAGAATATCAGGCTGCAGTTAGGGCAATCAACCAAAATTACTAGGAGCATATTGTCAAAAGCACTGTACAGGAATCTTGTCATATGAATTACTATAGTAGAGAAGTCTCAAAGGAATCAAATAGGTCCTCTCTTGCTCTGCCAGGCATTCCTGATTAAAGGTATAACATAAATACAAATAAGAATTTATAACTGAGCAGTGGTGGCACATGCCTTTAATCCTAGCACTTGGGAGGCAAGGCAGGGGGATCTCTATGAGTTCGAGGCCAGCCTGGTCTACAGAAGGAGTACTAGGACAGGCAGGGCTTCACAGAAAAACTTGTCTGGAAAAACCAAAAGAAAAACAAACAAACTCACATAACTAGGGGCTGGCAGGTGGCTGTCAGTCAAGTCTGTGCCACAAAGTGTGAAGCCACCAGCACCTAGTTAACAAGCCTGTAATCTCGGTGACAGCAAGGCATGGACTATTGAGAGCAAGCTCTCTATAAACAAAACTGTACTGTGCATCTGAACTTCGGAATCCTCCAGGACTCTTAACAAGACAGTCATTCTAACTGAGAGTTTTACTGTAGCAGAGTACTAGCATGTAAGTGGGCTGGGGAGATGGCTCAGTTGGTAAAGTTCTCACAGTGCTCGAACCCATGGAAAGCAGCAGGAGGGGACTGAAGTTGGACCCCAGCAACTATGTAAAGAAGCCAGCACTTTGGGGCTGGAGAGATGGTTATGAGGTTAAGAGCACTGACTGCTCTTCCAGAGGTCCTGAGTTCAATTCCCAGCACCCACATGGTGGCTCACGGCCATCTGTAATGAGATCTGGTGCCCTCTTCTGGCCTGCAAGGATACATGGAGGCAAAATGTTGTATACATAATAAATAAATCTTAAATAAATAAATAAATAAATGCCAGCACTTTGAAAGACAAAGAGGCATCCCTGAGGTTTGCTGGACAGCCAGTGTAGCTGAATCTGTGCATTTGCGTCAACAGGACTATTATTGTTCAAGGAAATGCAAAAGCAAACAGAAAGGAAGACTCCCCCGCTTCCCTCCAGTCAACACTACAAACACACCAGTATAAAACATACTGCAAGTCAAGGAGAACAAGAGAAAAAAAAAGTCAAACATGAATTTTTGTCCAAAGTCTTCTTGCTGGCAATCAATCATATTCATGATGCAGTTGAAAACATGGAGAGGTGGCTCAGTGGTTAAGAGCACTGGTTGCTCTTCCAGAGGACCCCGGGTTTGATTCTTAGCACCCACATGGCAGCTCACAACTCTCTGTAGCTCCAGTTCTAGGGGATTCAATGACCTGTTCTGGCCTCTGCAGGGAGTAGACAAACAAGTGGTGCACAGATATACATGCAGGCAAAACAGTCATACACATAAAATTCAAAGACAAAAGGAAAAAGAAAAGATACCCTTAACCAAAGCAATAATGGAAAGATGTACTCAAAAGATAAACCATGTACACATACACACACACACACACACACACACACACACACACACACACACGAATGTGCTAAAACAGACTTGAAAGAGACACAAGAAATCAGGGCAGTGAGGCTGGTGAGATCACTAACTCAGTGGTTAAGAGCACTGGCCAGCTCTTCCAGAGGAATGAGTCCATCTCATTCCCAGCACCCACATAGAGGCCCACAACTGTCTGTTAAGCCCAGTCCTAAGGGATCTGACATCCTCTTCCGGCCTTTGAGAGCACTAGGCACAAACTATAGAACACAGAATATGTATGCAGGCAAAACACCCATATACAGTATATACATTAAATAAAATTTTAAAGCGAGAAACAGAGAAGGTAGCAAGAGAGAATGGACAGAATCTTCTAAACCACTTTGATGCTTATTTAGTTATTGATTGTACGTACAGAGCTTTATTAGGCCAGGCTAGACTCATACTCGCTATATACCCGAGAAAGGACTTGAAATCCCTAAACTTCCTGCCTCTACCTAAACTCTGGGATTACAGGTGTGTACCACCACCTCACTCAGCCAGTTTGATTCTTGTCTCTCTTTTCTAGTCAATACTATTACTGACTTTTTACTTGAATTTTGTCACTGACTTTATTCACTATTTAGATGGAAACAACAACAACAACAATAAACTAAAAGCTGCCTATGCCTAACATAACTCAGGCTGTCTGACTACCCATCAGATCTCCAACCTTTTGATATTGCAACATAAATGTTGTGATCTACAAAGGTCACACTTAAAAACCAAACAACATGACACTCAGACAATGTGATGCATATCGAAAGACAGGCAGATCTCTGTCTGTTCCAGGGCAGCCAGGGATATATAGTGATATCCTGTCTCATAAACAAACAAACAAATAATCTGGCAACAAAACAAGAAAAATAATCAAGCTTTTAAGCAGGTTTATAATTTTTTTGTGTTGGGCCCCATTCACAGCCATCCTGTGGCACAGGCTGAACACACCTGAGTCCTACAGCCTCTAGGGAACCTTCATCTGCTTATTAGTTTTCAACAGACCTCAGATGCTGGAGCAAACAAATCTATGTTGCAATCCCCATTTCTTTCCCCACAACTCTAAATTTACATTCCCATTTGCCTCTGTCTTTTGGATTCCATGGCATCTCAAACTCCACAAAACGAGTACTGAACTTAACCTTCCCACCACACCCCTCCCTCTCTCCACCAAAACCTGATTCTCCCTACCACCTCTTTTGATCCCTAGTGTTGCCACCCAGTCCACCCTGTCTCCCAAGTTCACAGTCATCTTAGGTCCACCTTATTTTCTGGCTTCCACCCAGAGTTAGTTCCAGACCTTCTTGTTTGGCACCAGGAGTATGTTTGTTTTTGTCTTTTGAGACAGGGTCTCCCGCAGCCCAGC